AAATAATTAATGATTTTTTGTTAGACATCAAAAGTTTGTTACAGCAACAAGAAAAGAACCTAAGAATTTGAATTGTACAGGAATTTGGTTGGAATGGTGCAATGGTTAATGAGATAGGAGACTTTAAAAAGAACGAGACATGGATTCTTAAGGAACTGTTGCCCGAAAAGGAATCCTTCAAAAGTAAATGAGTATACTAAATAAAACATCATTGAGACGAGAACATATATCAATTGAAAGTAAGTCGTGTTATATTCATACATTATTAGAAATAGGAAAGAGTGAGACTTGTTATATTTGTCAAAGAAAGCAAATATATCATGACAAAACCTAATGTCATAAATGGTGATCATTCGTACCTTTTTGACAGTGGTGACAATTAAAAAATGACATGTTCACCACATGAATGTACAAAACATGTTTTTCCATGGTGATTTGGTTAAGGAGGTGTACATGAAAGTCCTTTTGGATTTTAAAAGCATTAACCCAAATTTAGTTTGCATGTTGAAAAGGTCATTGGACAACTTAAAACAAACTTCTTGTTTTTGGTATGTTAAGTTGACTATTGTCTTGTTTTGTTCAATTATATTCATTTATATTGCATATAAGAGAAATACATCTCTATGTGTTAGTTTACGTGGATGCCTTAATTATAGCAGAAAATTATATTTCAACCATGAAATTTTTTAAATCTTACTTAGACGTCTACTTTTATAGGAATGACGTGGGAGTTTAAAATATTTTTTTGGGGTTGGATGAACCTGTAAATCAGAGGGGATTTATCTTTGTCAACAAAAATATACGTTGGAAATCATTGAAGACACATGTTTCTTTGGTGTCAAGCGTGTGGATTTTTTAATGGAACATCATAATCTAGTGTTGGCTTCTTATACACCTCTTGAAAATCCAAAACTCTATCGAAGACTGATTGGATGATTAATCTATGATTAGATCTAATCTTGCTTACTTGCTTACTTAACATTTTATCTCAGTTTACGCAAAAATCTTCATGATGAGTATCAAGAGACATCTTTGACATTTTTAAGGGTTATTAAATATTTGAAAAAACATTCACGATGATGTATTCTATTTCAGTTTACTAATAAAATTAAGTTATAGGAATGATGAGATTTGGAAATTGTCCACTTATCACATGTGAGTTAATTATATTTTTAGTCTCCTAATTTTGACACGAAATTGGAATTTATCCATCATCAAAACTTTAATATATTTTTGTTTCTAAGTTTTAAAAATAAATAAATATAATTCGGTTAAATTTTTTTGTGTGTCAAAACATGTTTCATACTAACATTTGAATTTAACATAGTTGTGTTAAAAAAGATTGTATTTTTTATTTTTAAAATTTAAGAATAAAAAATGCATCAAAATTTTAATATCAAAATTTAAAATCAGATAGTGGAATGCAGGTGTCAAGCTGAGGAGAGTCGGAAATCAGATAGTGGAATGCAGGTGTTAGCAGAGGAGCGGACGTTCGTTTTTAACAAAACTGATTTTCTGAAAAATCGCGTCACACCCTCTGCATGCATCTTCTTCTCCAAACTCTGAACTTCTTAAATTCTCCTCCTTCTCTCTAAAAACTCTCCCTTCTCTCTACCAAAACTCACCATTTTTCTACTCTGATCTCCATTCAGGCACCGTAGAAGCATTTTCGGCGTCCCAAGCTTCATTTTGAACCGAACAGTTTCGAGTTTTGAAATCGGTAAGTTTCCTTGTCTTTAGCCATTCATTTTTCTGGTACATGCAAACCAAGTTCTGGTTGCATGCTTTCATCTGGTCTGAGCCATTATTAATTTTTGGTTGTTTGGTTTAGTTTGAAGAGTTGTTGAGCGTTGAGAGTAGAAAGATCTGTAGTCAGACGAACCAAACTCTGTTTTTAGGACGTACGTTCATGCTCAGAGATAAGGAAAGTTTATTTAATTTAATTGTATGTTCGTTGTACGTTCGTTGGTAATTAATGAATGTTGCTGAGTGGTTGAATGTATATAAAGTATGAATATGATTATTTACTGAGTTATGGATTGTATGAAGTATGCAAATTAATTTTATATGAATGTATAAAGTTATGAAACTATATGTTAAGAAATGAGTTGGAATATAAATGATCCTGGTATGAAATTCCCCTAAGAAAGTGTACGTACGTTACTGAACGGTCCTTGACCGTTCGGTTTTCTAGTGAATTTGGTTAGTAGTGGATTCTTTCATTTGGAAAGAATCCTAGTTAAGGACGAGCGTTTGCACTTCGAAATAATGTGCTTGAGCGTTCGACCAAGCATAGTTCTGTGTTGATATCCTGTTATAAACTTAAGTATGTATGTGTGTGTGTGTGTGTATATATATATATATATATATATATATATATATATATATATAATTGTATATTTTAGTTATTCTTAAATACTACTCCAATAGTATCTTAGTATAATTATCAAGCCTCTTTTCTTTAAGTTTAGTAGCACCTGGTATTATACCAAGTGTTCGTCCTAAGCAAGTGTTTGGTCTTACACCAGGCACTCGTTCTATCTCCTTAAGCTAAATTTTCTAATACGAGCATTCGTTCAAGCCCTCTAGGGTTCGCTCACTATAGTGTTCAGTCTTTGACTGACATTTGGATTTCTTGATACTAAACTCAATTAAACTAAGTATTCACAAGTGTTCGGTTTCTTCATGTGAATTATTCTAAGTATTAGTTTGAATGCCTTGAAATATCCTTATTCATTGGTTTCACTCTGGAGTCCTCGTTCTTGGTCTGGTTTTTTTGATGTTCAGATGGAGTTCTCAAGAGTCAGTTCATCTAATTGGCTCAGCGTTGTAATTGACGTTCGTTCCATTCGTTTCTTGGAATATATGATTGTGCTCGTTATCTTTCTCAACCCGATATCAACCCTTTGTTCTTAATTTATTCCAAATTTTGAGATCTCGCGATTTCTCTCTACGTGTTTGGTCTCGTTCTGAGTTCGGGTTGAACGTTCGTTATTTAGAATTCGTATGAATCTTTGTACGAGGTGGTTAAATGAGATACTTATTAATGAAAGATGAAGAAAATGTGATATGGAAATGTTGTGGATTATGGACGAGCGTTCCGGGGAGGAACGACTCATGTATGAATATTGGAATTTGTAAGGTATGACTGTGGGCATGCTAAGTTGGCTGTTCATCCTAATGTTCCGTGAGTACTCGTCTTCACGTAGAGGAGGGTAGGTCATGTGTGGGAACGGCAGGAGGTCCTAGTCCTTAGGGGTACTTTGGACAGATAGGACTAACCTCGGGTGGCAGCTGTTGAGGGCATCCCAATTACTACATCACCCGGGTGCACGAACGCCTGTAGCTACACAGATTTCATACAGTCCGGACGGTCAGTCTAGTAATAGGCTTTGTATGATGAAATTTTATCTTGTGTGTTGGATTGTTTGAAATGTATGTTTATGCATGAATTAAATTACATAAGCTTACCCTGTGTTTCCTGTCGTGTCTTATTTTGTACGTTCATCTTGTCGTTGCAATGATCATCCGTGTGGATGTGAACAGAAGGGAACGAGCTGTTGGAAGATGCGCTGGAAGAAGAAAATTTGGTCGAGGTTGAAGTTAAGACCGAACAGTATAACGTTCGGTCAGTAGTTTAGTTTTGTAGTGAGGTGGTCATTCGATCACCTTTCCTTTTTGTTATGTATGACCGATCGATGTATATTATTTTGTAAACCGTTCGGTTAGTTTTGTACCGCTGTACAGTTTAAGTTTGTAACTCTGTCTGTAAGGTCGTTCGGCCATAATCGTACGCTATTCTAAATGTAAGACTGATCTGAATTATTATTAAATGTAATTATTCTATTATATAGTTTATACTATATTTTTGGAATGTTACATTTTCTATCAACAAGATTTATGAAAAATTATTTTCACGATATTAAAATTAAAAATAATTATATAATATATACGTTAAGATATTTGGCTTTCTTTACCTTAAATATTTGTTTAGTTCATTGGTATATTATTATAATGAATGGTCCTCTACTTTCAATAAATAATATATTTGTATTAATAAATTATTTACCTTTTCTTCTTTATGGAACAAAAATTAGTATTAGTTCTTAAATCTCTTAAAGGTGAAGTCCAAAATCCATCCCGAACAATATGATTATGTAAAATATTTTCATAAATCATAGAATAAAAGAAATTTTGATAAACTTTTTGGGAAAAAAATATTGATATAATATGACATTTTTCATACGATTTTTTTTTATAAAATATAATGCCTGCTATTTGAAATACACCATTATGTAGTAATATATGGTTTTCTTATAATTAATATTTTATTACATATAATCTTCCTAGAATATTACATCATAATTTAAGTTGGTTATATATATATATATATATATATATATATGTGTGTGTGTGTGTTTTTTTTTGTTTGTACTCATAAGATGTTGATTAGTTTAATTTAAACAAAGTTTTAAATTTTTTTATAACATCTTCCTGATAACTCTCTTAATTTCTTTTTATGTTTTGAAAACATAGAAATGCAATTATTATTACTCTTTTTATAAAATATTTTCCTCCTAAAAAAAATAAAACAATTAAAAAATATTTAAAAAATTTAAAAAAACCACGAGGTGATGCATAACCCTTCTTTAAGAGTTTTAATACGGGAACGAAGCAATAATTTAATTGTTTTGATTTTTCAAAAATAAAAATTCAATTAAAATAAAAAAATAAGAGACCTATATAAAAAATTATCGAAAATAGAAACTATCAGAATTATTAAACCTTAGAAATAAAAAATATTTGATTCTTAAAGTTAAAAAATATAAATTAGTTCTAGATTTTTATGTCCAAATACTTTTTAAAATTATATTTTAGTAAAAAAATAATCCTATATAATTTAATAATAAGATTACTCTAATTCAAATTGTTTGGACTAAATTAATTTTACGTGTAAAGTAAACTAAAATTCAGACCAACAACTGGTCTTGTGCAGAGCAACAGACAGGGAATAAAATTGAGAAAAAGGAAAGGGTGGAACTCGAATGAGAAAAAAAAAAGAGTTGTCTCAACCCAACAATAGCAGAGAGAGCCAAACACGTCTTTTGACTAAAAAGTAACCAACCGCTTATCTCAATCAACTCGAAGTCTAATGTTTTCATAAGATTGGTTGCTTCAGCGTGGTATGTCGTGGACATGGATCTGTGTTGTGTGATTTCTTCTTCTCGCTCCATGTCCATGGAATGAGTGTTTCCCTTTGTAACTACTTTCCTCTTTTGGTAATTTCGATTGTAAGGTTGTCCTGTTTGTGCTGGGTTCGGTAATTTTCAGATTGCTGCTACAATATGGGTGTGGAGAATGCCTCGAAGTCCATTTCCACCTCACAATGCGATGACCAACTTAGTAACAGCAAAATCAACACACTCGTGCGATTGAATGTCTACGATCTCACCCCTGTCAATAATTACGTCTACTGGGTTGGATTTGGCATATTTCATTCTGGCGTTGAAGGTCTCTCTCTGTCTCTCTCTTTCTGTTTCCTTGAACTTTTTTAACTAGCTTTTATGCGTATACCAGATCTGATTTAGTGCAGTTTTTTATTTCAATTTTTCTATCTTTGTATTGCTTTGAGAAGGCTCCTAATTCACGATTCTGTGATATCATGTATGTTTTCCTTGAGTGCTTATTTGTAACTTTTCTCCATAAATTGAGAGAGCGGAGAGACGAGTATAACCTTGAGTTACTGAATAGTAATTTGTGATTAACAACACCTTACCAGCTTGTGGCTTCTCAGATATTGAATTGGAGAGCTAACTTCATAAGAGTGAAAAACAAACATGTCAATTAAATGGTTATAAACTAGTTAGACTAGTGACAGTGTTTTGGAATTACATATAATTTTTGCCGCACAAACTCTAGGTTCCAGTACCAAGGTACCAAGTTCCAAATCACATAATTTTTGCCTCACTCTAACTCCATGGTCACAATGTTTTTAATTAAGGGCTCAAAATGATTTGAAAAGATTAGCTAGATTTTGAAATGTTTTCACTTTATTAACTTATGTTTTTATGAATTTATAAATGATTACGACATTTATATAATTTGATCTCTCTTAGTTCTATTACATTATTAAATCTTATTATTGTTGTTTGCTACTTGACTTTATTATAAAGTTGAAACACTGTATTATTTTTGTGTTAAGAGTATTATGCTGTTCATTCAAGTCATTAATAGATTTTTAGTATTTTTTTATTAAGTGAATAAAAACTCAGTCTATAAAAACTCTACAAATTTCCTTAAACTATACAGTTTAACCTTACAATAGTGTGGCAGCCAACCTATACGCTTTTTTTTCCCTACAAAAAACAAAGGAACCTCTTAAGGTTCGGGGATTCCTAGATTCAAGATTCCCAAGTATTTCACACACCGACAGCAACAATCATAAATAATCCAGATTACATGTCTGGAATGTGAAAGACGAATGACGTTATGATGTTCCATAATGACTTCGAATTCAGAAACACTATCAATAGTATTTGTTGTACAATATCCAAGAGGGTGGTTGGCTGGAGTAAGGCTAACAAGTGAGCGAGAACTGAAACATCTATTGAAGTTAGAATAGCTCAAATGCAGCTCAATTTCTTTGATCTTATGCTTACTGTGGCAGATTTTGTATATTCAGAAAGCCTCTAGTCTGTTGAAGATAATTGAATGATTAGAATCCCGTTAACAGCCGCCTTCCAACTTATCTTTTCATAGTTGTCTTAAAAGATTTCCCTTAAGTGTCAAACTCCTTACTCTGTTTTAAACATTTATATTTTGCAATCTTCAGGTTTGGCTCTCCTAATCCACCTTATTGCTTCTGAAGACTATGTATTCTAAAATGTATTTTACCGTTTACAAGAGTGTGTTTGGTACGCTACTCTAGAAATGTAGAATTATGACTAATAGGCCTGTCGACCAACTTATAAGCTGGTTTGTCGAAAATCAGTTTGTAGATCAGGAAAGTCCCATGAATTAAGGGATTCTATAGTGGAATGGAGAAATTTTATTTCCTAAAATAGAATAGAACTCCTCTTATGTACATGTTGTATGATTATTCGGAGTTAATGCAATGAAATCTAATCGTTCTTCCCTAATTTTTCAGAAATAGAAGTTACAATCTCACTGTCAAATGTAAGCTAACGTGCACACATCTTCAGTTGCAATACAGAACTTGCTATCATCAAAATCATTATATCTTATTAGAGTCCTTTTTGGATATGTTGTATGTTGTGTGTATACGAGGTTTCATGCTTCTAGAAGTGGATTTCCTGGTTGATTGAGAATCTGTATTCAATAAAATAAATAAAAAGAAAATTAGCATATTTAAACTTACTCATTTTTATCCTTTTGATACACTACTTTATTAATAGCTTCTGAGTTCTAAACATTTCATTTTTGTATGATTGTTTGGCAACAATCATAATTTTGTCAGAATTGTTCTGAAGATACCCCAGAAGAAGTGTTTCGTGATTTATGCTGATGAGTTTCCTGCTGTTGTAACTCTTGTTTTAATTTGTATATCTAATGCTCTAATCTAGTGAAGTTTTTTGTCTTGCTTTGTTTCTTTTATTTTGAAACAGTGCATGGTAAGGAGTATGGTTTTGGAGCCCATGATTTCCCAGCTAGTGGAGTTTTTGAAGTGGAGCCAAGGAAGTGCCCTGGATTCATATATAGATGTTCCATCACTTTGGGTCAAACTAATATGAGTGCTTCTGACTTTCGTACATTTATTGAAAACATGGCTTCTGAGTATCATGGAGATACCTATCACCTTATAACTAAGAACTGCAATCATTTTACAGAAGATCTCTCCAATAGATTGACTGGGAAACAAATCCCAGGTTGGGTGAATCGGCTTGCTAAGCTAGGTAAAACCGTACTAGGAAATTCCTTGTAAGCTTATTTTTTACACTTTGATGCGTGATTATCTTTTTACTTCCATAGTTCTTTCTGATCTCTTTTCATCTCTTCAGGGAGACACTTGTAACATCATGCTCCTATCAACCCCACCCGTCAGTTACAAAGTTTAGGGCCATTATAGGGCTCACATATTTCTGAAAACATACTTGAACTAGACAAGGAGAGAAAATACTGTCTTCAAACATCAAGTTATAGTCTCTATTATGAATGACAAAATATTAGAACCTTCAAGTTGTCTAAAATATAATCTGACAATGATATCATGTTTTGCCGATGTATAAATTTTAAACTTCATCAGTTTTTTTCAAGTTATTCTTGGCAATGAAAAGTACTTTGAAAATATCAAACATCAGTTGCTTTTAGCTGGATAACACCATTTGTAATGTCATCAACAGAGACTAACAATCGGACGCATTGATTTTCTCTTCTAGTTCTGTTCTATACATTTTATGTCATTTTAGTCCTAAAATACAATGAGCATAGTCCTAATGTCCATCCTCTGGTAAAAATTGTAGGTGCTTTATGCAGTTGTCTACTTCCTGAAAGTCTTCAAGTAACAAGTGTTAAACAGCTACCTGAATACCATGAATGCTCAGGTGTGTGTATCTCTTGTTCTTTCTTTTTTCCCAGTCAACATGTATTACAGATGATGCATATACTAAATTTCCATCTTGCTAATAATATCTGCAACCTTTTTTCCTGTCTGTCTTTTCGAATGTTTGCAGAAGATGAATTTGTTGAATCTCTTTCACCTGCCACACCCCGCGAGTCCACAGAAATAGATGAGGAGCAAGAAAAGCACCTTCTTTCATCATCAACTGTAACTGAGGATGTTACTTTCGTTAGAGAAAGCCAAGCAAAATAATTGGTATCTTTGACGTTAGAAGTTACACAGGTGCTACGCTTTGAAATTTATCCATTTGTTTGCAGTGATTATTTTTTCTAAATTTTCTCAATCATCCATGGGTTTGGGTTCATTGAAACTGGAGAATCCAGTATTTGTTGTGTACAAAAGATTTTCGAACGGGGCTTATTTGTTTGATTTTTTTTTAGGGGTGGAAAGTGGGGCGAGGTTTGAGGCTTAGTATTTTGTCATGTTTGAAACTGTCTGTAAGCTATGGAATATTAGTCATTTTGTTTGACAACATGGTACAAAAAACATCTTCCAGTTGGAGGATGAGGGTTTAATGTTGTTTTTCTTATGAGGTTCATATCCTGCACAAAAGTAAAAGATGAAATGACCACTGTAAGCATGGTTGAATAGAAATGCCGTGCGCTTTCGACATGATTGACATGATCTAATGTGATAGAAATACTTATTGTGATTTATGATTGTGTATAATATTTCCTTCAAATGAGTAAAATTTTATGTCAATTAGGGTTAGGATATAGTTTGTGTTATTAATATACTTTATATTTCATAATAGAAACCATACAAAGTACATCGTAACAATTATTAGGGACTGAAAATTTTGGCTAATTATGAACCACTGAAGACAAATATTTATATCGCCTGAGAATGAAGACTTTGCATGATGTTGATATTTAAATTAGAAGGCGGCATTTGTATTATCGTTAAAATATATTAATACAACAGAATACACTAGAAGTTCATAATTCATACACTTGATTATAATATTTAGTAGATTCTGAGTTTTTATTATTGGATCTTTTTAAGTTGACAATTTTATTATCATTTTAATATTTTAAAATTTCCATATAGTTCATCTGATACACCAGTGGCTACAGAAGATGGTGAAAATTCACATAATGTTATATGATGTTCCAGTGACAACCCTAGACTGCAGTTTGAAATTCGTAAAATATGTATATCTATAAGCATATCTGTACATGAAAAATGTAGATTCACATTTAAAGGGATAAATTGTTACGTGTACACTTACTAATGTAGTGACGATGCATTAAGACATATTGGTATGATTTAAAATTATAAAATTAAAAAAAAAATTGTTAACCATATTCTTAAAATTTAGTTCATCGAGAAATTATCTGTAAGTTTTTTTAACGTTGTATTGTTAGGGCTTATATGGTGGTCAATAATAGGATACGGAGATTAGAGATGAGAAAATGAAGGACAAGTTAATTATCTTATCATGTTATATATTAAAAAGAAACTTCTCCTTAAAATAAAATATACGCTAGATTAACATATTATAATGAACAAATGGATAAAGAAATCATATCATCTTAGTACACCAAATAATTGATTAAAATATGATATGGTTATTATTTTCTTACATCAGTCTTCTGAATAGATCTTTAATATATTCATCTATCAATAAGAGTGTGTTATATACAGTAGCAATTAGTCGTTTAAGTTATTATATACATTCAAAACACAGATTTAATATGAATAATATGCAGAAATATCAGCAAATAAAATTTTTAAAATGAAAATAAAATATTTAAAATAAAAATTATAAATTTTTAATGTAAAATAATATTTATATTATAACCGAAAGAAAAATTAATTAAATCTATTTTTATTTTTACAGCTATTTCGTTTTAAATATATTTTTTTAATTTTCTCATAAATTTCTGCACGTCCATACCCATTTTCAGTTTTTGTACGTTGATCAAAAGGACAATTTCTTCATCATACCTAACATTTCGTACATAGAATTAATTATCATATTTAATATTTGAACATGAGTGACATTAATACTCCAAAATTTTCCTGTGAATTAAATAATTTCAGACAAATGAAATGGTGGATATTTTTTTTAAAATATTTTTAATAGAGGATATCATTCAATAATTCCGCTTTTTAAAACTATCTGCAATATGATACATCTAGTTGTTTGTAATTGTATGTAGCAGCAGCCTATGATGACAATACTATTCCTCCCAACTCATGAACTTATTTTCCATAGTTTTGACAAATTATTCAATCTTCCAAATAAACTTGACAACATAATTAGTGGCGCCAAATGCTCCTATTTATTATGCAATGGAAATAGCCTACCTTTTGTGAATAATCCTTCCCAAACTTTAAGATCTGTTTGAAAATTCAAACTTTCATTGACAGTAGTATGATATATCTAGTAAGAACATTATAACTTGGGAATCGAATAGTTGGTGTATAGAAAAAAAATTAATATATGATAATAAATTGTGTTTGCAGAAAGAATACAACAATATTTTTTCCAATTAATATAATTATTTGATTGGGTTTTTTAGATGGAAAGTACCCTGAAATTATTTAATGTCGTTTTAAAAAGAGGTCTTGATTATTCTAAAATTCGTATTATTTTTGGTGAAATTTCATTTTACTTCTGCTTTTGTATTTAAGCTCACGCGCTTTATAGTTGAAGTCAACATGAGACTTTATTTTATGATAAAAAATGTTGTTAAAAACGAAGTATCAAAGAATATCAACATTTGTCTTTGTCATGAACAAGTCAGATGTTCAAGATTTATCTGTATTGTATTACATTAATTTGTCAGAAACTACCCTTTATTTTGTCAAAAACACAAACATCAAGAATAAATAATAGGACTAGTTTTGTCGACCAGAATTGTTTTCATTCTATAAATTTTAACCATATACTCTCTTTGAGGTGAGAAAACCAATCCCTCCTTCGTAGAAAACTAAATTAATGTAATGGCGTTATTATAACAAACTTACAAAAGTTATCGTTTTACATTCCAAACTATTCGTTACTTATTAGGAAAGAAGGAACAATAAGTGAAACTAGAGTTAGGTTTTCTTTCTCTTTAAGTTTGACAATTTCTTCCATATATCCCCACCACTTTTTCTTTATTGATTATACTGTATTATTTCTTACCTTAGCACGAAAAGACTGATTAGCGTATAAAATTAAAGACTAGATCAGCAAAAACTTAGTCAAAGGAACCTCCAAATCACAGTAATGCCAACATACAGGCATTGATTGTTTGCAGAAGAACCCAGAAAACAGGTTATAGTGGAAAAAAAAAGATGAACTGTATGTATATAACATAATCTCCACACTGAAAATATTAGAACTATGTCCCAATTTATACAATTGAAGTAACTAAGTAATGAGAAGCAAAAAAATAGCAAGGGAATAATACCCTGAAGGAGATAGATTGAAGTGCATTAGGAGGTCTAATCCCCAGAGAGAAGGAAGCTATCTGCCAGATAAAATAGTTGTTCCAAGTGAGTAAGTAGATGTACAATCCACATTGCTCGAAACAGAGGTCAACAACCTTGCAAGATTTCGATGATCTACAGGATCTTCATCAACAGCTAGTAAATCAACTAGAATCATTCTGGAACCAGGGGGTTCATCCACCCTCACACGCTGCTCAAGCATATCAACCACTTGTGCCATTGTAGGTCTCAATCTTGGCTTCTCTTGTATACACCACAATGCAATATACACCAATCTAATCACCTCACTCTCATCCACAACCCCACTTTCAATCAACCTATGATCCACAATCTCCATGAACTTCCCCTCCCTCACTTTCTCGTTAACAATCTTTGGAAAAAACTCCCACTTTTTCTTACTGCTGTCTCTCGGATCCTCCACCCTCAGAACATTCCTTCTCCCTCCAATTATTTCCAACAAAACCATCCCATAACTGTAAATATCAGTTTTCTCTGACACTCCTCTTTCCAAAAGCCACTCAGGAGCCAAGTACCCTCTTGTCCCCCTCATTGTTGTCATCACCTGACTCACATCGTTTCCTACAAGCGTTGAGAGACCAAAATCTGAAACAAGAGCCTTATAATCCTCATCCAAGAGTATATTCTCGGGTTTGACATCAAGGTGCAAAACCCTCTTCCTACAATCATGGTGAAGATAAGACAACCCCCTGGCAACATCAATCGCAACCTTATACCTCGAGTTCCATGGCAAACACCCACTTCTACGTGCACGCTTTTCCCTTGAGGGAAAGATCCAACAATCCAAAGACCCGTTTGGGATGTACTCATAAACGAGGTACCTAGGCGATGTGGGGGCGTTACAATAACCAAACATGCGCACCAGGTTGACATGGTGCACGCTAGCAATGGCGGCAACTTCTGATCTGAATTCCTTCTCCCCACGCTCCTCTCCATCGATCCGTTTCACTGCAACCGAAGTTCCATCGCTGAGAATGCCTTTGAAGACCGAAGCCGAGGACCCTCTTCCCAACAGTGATTGAAAGCCATCCGTTGCTTCCTCAAGCTCCTTGAAACGAAACTTCGTGGGAACCCCGGCAACTTTTCTTAAGAAACTGTACTCTATTCGAAGCTCTCGCCCTTCCGTCTTCAACTGTGATTCCAACAACCTCCTCCTGCGGTGGTAACGGTGCCTTATGAATGCACACGAAAAGACGGCGATGATCACAGCAATAGAAGCGCCACATATGAGGAAGAAGGCGTGTGAAAGCTTCAGGGAGACGCGTGCAACGATGATAAATATGATAAGTGCAATCACCGCTATCGCAGAGATTGTGTTGGCTTTTCTGTCCTCCATTAGAACTTCATTGTTTTCTGGTGAAGGAGTAAACCAACGGCAAAAGGGTCTCTTTAGTATCCTGACAAGACTAGGGAGGTTAGATTAGGTTGTGATGAGTGACCGCAAGAAAAAAAAAGTGTAACTTGTTTTTATATAAATACAACTATTTCATTAGTTTTAGTGAGGGGGACCATTCTTATCGTCGAAAACGGCTAAAAAACTTAGATAATGGTTGGTATTAACATTAATTTAATTATGTACGTTGGAAGTAACCAAGAAATTTAATTAAAAGCAACACGTCTGGACCGTAGAAAAATGCATGGGGTTGTAGTTTTGAGAATTGTTGTGCGAAACGCGGGCTTTGATTTGGTCAGTGTTGAAGTTCTCGAAATCCAATGGCAACATATGTAGTGACAAAGGGGAATGAAGAATGAGGACAAGTTGAGGTTTAATTTGGTCAACAATTGGGTTCCTCTCTGTGTTGGGAAGTAAATGAAAAACTTTTTGTTGTGTTGTTTCCCTCTCTTCCACAAAATTTAGCACAATGTGAGAATTCAATGACAAAGCTCTCATGTGTGGTTGTTTTTAAGATGGCCCTCCAACCATGTGAGAATTCAATGACAAAGCTCTCTTTCTCACTACTATCATTTTGGGATGCCCCAATTCATCTGTCTTCAGTAGGATATGATTTTCTTTAATTTTTTATTTATTTTTTACTTATGATGTCAATTTTTTTAGCTAATTATCGACATCTTTTTCACCGATTTGTTACGTGTTCAGAAATTATATTCCTAGGATTACTATTTCTGGAAATTATTTTCAACAGACACGTTTGGCAATATATGAGTCATTTCTTGGAATATTTTGAAAAGGGGT